GGTGCTGGTGGTATTCTGCATAGCTGACTTTTATTATAATGTCTTGCTGGGACTTGTAGTCCTGCATAGCTGGTGGTATTCTGCATTGCTGTATAATCATCATGCGGGACTACAAGTCCCAGCCATACATCATATTTTTAAGTAGGGATGCACCAGTGCCAATACTGGGAATTTTCACGAGTACTCGAGTACTCATACTCGTGAGAATGCCCTGATACTAAACGCAGATAACGTGTTCTGTCGAGAACGCTGACGTAGTCGAATTTGCCGACCTCAGCATCTGCGCTTGCGCACAGACCAGTATTATTGAGGGAACAGGGATTTATTGACAAAGTATTTAGTTTAAATTGTTAATTGTGACCGTTAATAATATTCCATCCGTCATTTACTGCCATGGACGGCATATTATTATTTTTTTATCGAATACGTTTTTTATTGAAAATTTTTCAATACAAAAGTGATCAATAAGCAATGAAAACAAGGAGGTATATTGCAGTATCTACGACAAGTATTTCCGTACAATGTAAATCTGAAATGGACGGCATATTATTAACGGTCACAATTAACAATTGCAAACAAATACTTTGTAAATAAATGCCGGTTTCCTCGTTACGCCACTGGGTGTTACTAGACCTAATATTGTAAATCGGCTTAACTCCTCTTTTCACTGCCACTTTTTTTTTTTACAAAAATCCAATTATACTTACCTTTTTCCCTGCAGTCTTCTGACTGGTCCACTGATGTAATGAGTCAATCATCCTTTCCAATGGTGGCTGTGGGTAGTCATTCCTCCTGGACAAACCGGTGGTCATGTAATAATGTGTAAGCACCGTGCTGTCCAGGAGTACTGTGAGGCGCCCCCACCCCCCCCCTCTCCCCCACATGGGGCATGTATATGATAGCCTAGGCTCACAGGAAGGTGGTTGGATGAACAACACTGGAGAGGAGATGTGCAATGTAGCCTTTTATTTTGCATCACAACCCAAGTAGCCAAAATTCATATATTATCGGTGGGCCAGCTGCAAGAACCCAGAAGACACAGCTTGCTTGCAATGACAGAAGAAATGGCAGTGGAGCGGGACTTGGTGTGCAGCACCTGAGAAGCGGATCACAGTAGACTAAAGCTGGATTTGCTGGGCACATGAGTATATAAATTAAGAATACCCCACGTAAAAGGTAGAAGTAAAATTAAATTAAAATATAGAGTGAGGTGAAGCCCCTCTTAAATGCAGTCTTATTGTTCAAACAGGCTGTCATTATCTGATTGTCCTTTTTGCAGCTAGGAATTTCCAAAGGCTGCATTCGATCTATCAAATTTAGAAAATATCTTTCCACAAGTGTAAAAAAGGACACCTGCTACAAGTTTACCAAAATACATTTAAACATCACCATACTTTAAGATTTTACATAGTAATTGAACATCTAACTGACACATAAAATTATATACACTGTTTAGCAACACAGATGCTGCAGGTTTGCACACACTGCAGTGCATGTGGCTGTGTTGTTCCTAGACAGGCATAAATGGGTTAATGGCTAGCATTTGCTGTACACTTCCATTTTCAAGGGTCTGGATAAGCAGTGGAGAAAAATGCCCAGAAAAATAAACAAATTAATGAAAAAAGATAGCAGTGCCACTTTCTGTTTGGGGGGAATTGACTTATTTAAGTGAAGCCGACACTGGTGATTTATCTGTAAGGTTCATGGCCATAACCCATCGCCTGCTGACTTCTGGCCCTCAGTCTGGGAGCATCATGCTGTATGGTGATGACTCTTTAACTGAATAACGGAGCATGGAGAGAAGACACCATCCATCAGAATAAAGGCAGCTCTACTTTAGCTCTCAATCTTATTTGTTCATAAAATCAGTTCCAGTGCACTGGGATTTGTGGAGAAATAGAATTTCTTTCTCAAGGAATGCAAGGTGAGTACCTTGATAAAGAGCAATATGTTCATTATGCACCTGACAGAAGAAGATACCGTAATTACTGCAGTTAAACAACTCGCTGTTGTATAGACCAAGCACAAAACTCTGCACTTAAACAGATTATAGGTGTTATTGATGGCACATTTTCTTAAAGGGCTTTTCCAGTTTAAAGAGCAATTCCAGGGGAAAAGTTACCTCCGTCAGTGGACTGTTAATGCTATCTAGAAAACATTGCAGCTGTGGTAATGCCAGAAAGCCTATCCACTTTAATCCATCGTAGCAATATTTTACAAAGCTTTTCAAACATACATCACTTCTCACTTATCTACCTTAGTAAACTGAGTCTAACTAACCCTAACACTTAAAACACAATTCCAGCAAAAAAAAGACTAAACAGCTAATTAAAAGATAAAACCAGCTGCAAAATTAACCTTCTAGCGAGCATGCCACTGAGAATTGTGGGTGTGTCTAAATTGTGGAAACAGTAAAACGAGCTTAAAGGCTATGTTTAAACAGAACCTGAGTCTACTCAGTTGTGATTCGTAACGCACAGACCACAAAGATCAGGAAGGTGTAATGCAGAACACAGGTGTCAGAAATGCGTGGCGTAGAGTGCAGGGGTCATGAGTGCATAATAAACAGAGATCAGGAGTACATAACACAAAGAGGAAAGGTGTTTAGGAGTGCAGGCATCAGGAGCATGCCCTCCCCAATATTCTCCCTGTATGTACCTTTTCCCCCAATACAGGCTGCCTCCCCCCACTGTACAGACATCTCTCCACCTAGTACAGACCACAGACCCCCTGACCCCACTTACCAGACCTTAAATACAGTGGCAGGGCACAGTGAGTCCCCCCCCCCCCTCAGCTGTGTCATCAGAGCCAAGGAGGAGATTAGGGGAGCCTTTCTGGGCTCTGTATAACCGCTGTGTCTGAGGTCTGATCCAGTGACTGCAATACAGATTGCACTGCAACATCGCAACTTGGGAAAAATTGAAAAAAAGGAAGTCACAACATCCGGAGAATCCTTAAGAGAT